ACAGCTGCAGCTCCTCTGCTGGTTTGTGATGTTGTGGTTGGATGTTGCTCGGAATCTGGCTGTCACTGTGGGAATGTTGTGCCTGGGTGCGGTTGGTGTTCAGACTTCAGCCGTTGCTGCGCTGCTGCGGAAATGTCCTACTGCTACCATTTGAACGTCCCGTGATACGTGTCTTCCCCAAAGACCAGAGTAGTCCTAAACGTGCACGCACGACGGCTGCGTGGAATCGGTGTTGGACCCATTAAGAGCAACACGTCCCGCCAAGAATTGTAACAAGCAAAGCACAGCCATGGCTACAGCCAGAGTTACAGCTGTGTCAGAGCTAGAAGATCAGCGCTAGTCTCTGTGCAGATTTGTGCCTCCGCAGAGATTCTCTCTGTGGTCACAGCCAGTGGCAGTCTACTACATGCAGTAGTACATGGATGTGTTACCTTCTGTTGTCTTTATAGAGGTTTTCCTCTTTGACATCACTTTCACTTTGGACTTGAAGTTTATTTGGTTTAGGCGACAAAACTACTTACTCACAATGAGTAGTTGGGGAAACGTTTTCACTGGGCTGTAATTGGAAACTCGTAGTTATTTAAGGAGGAGTAGAGCTAATTAGCTAGAATAAGGTGACAGTAGAAGCTTTTTCAGAACTTACAAGAAACTTCTAAATTGCATGCACTGCAACTCACCGCACTCTCTAAAAACATTTCAATAAATTCCTTAAGCCAATAATGATTATCTTAACCCACATGTTTAGAGAACTGGAGTAAAGCAAAAGGCCTATATATGCCTGTGCTTGTTTATAGGAAGAAACTATTGTGACTTTTTCAAGCAATTTAAGTCACTACAGCTTTTCTAAATAGGTATGTTTTGCTAAGTATACTGCATCACTATCTCACTTTGTTATTTAAAATTGTGACTGTACTGGGTTTGTTTATTTCACAGGCTCCTAATGGTGCCAGAGTTAAGTTTCTTAATTGCTGGGATTGTTGCAAAGCAAAAATTCAACACTATGATATTATGGGCTAAAACGACTTTCTTTGTCCTCTGGTGACTAGTCTCATACTTTTTTTTGTTTTAGACGCACTGTTATAACCAAAATAATATTTAAATAGTGCAATGTGGCATTATTTTTTTCACCAAAGTGTAGGAAAACTTTCCTTTTCTTAGGGTCAACTGACTTGCGGTGTTTGCTTTAGAGGCCTTAGAGTAACAGGGGCACCATTAAACTGCTCCACAGTCCCACTGAAAAATTGATTGGTATTTTCAGACAAAAGAAAACGAGAGCCCTCTCCAAAGACCACATTTTTGACACCAGAACTGCATAAAACAAATCACCGATGTGTATTCTCTCGAAGTTCAAAAAACAGTGATTGGAGGTATCACCTTCCATTTATATTTATTTGTCTGAGAGGCTGCAGTGAGCAGAATCAGTCATTTTTGTGTCTTTCACGGAGAGCACTCCTCTCCATAACAAGCTGGCCACTCATACAGCTGACAGACATTAGTAATTAGCAGTTTGAGCTGTATGCACAGACTTGACTGGCACTTCACAGTGTTGATACACGCTGATGCACAACATATACAAAACTTTGGGAATAATACAGTCATGTGAAAAAGAAAGTTTTCGCTCTTTGCAGTCTTGTGGAAAACCAAGTGCACCCTTATTGCTTCAATAGGAATTAAGAGGGAAAGGAGCAGCCAGGTGCTGCTATAATCAAATGTACTTGATTAATTTATCATCAGCGAGTGTAACCACCTCTTTACAAGTTTATCAGTTTGCTCTTTGCTCTTTAGTGGGAGACTAATGAAGTCATACACACAAGATTACATTGAGCTATTCCCGCTAAAGGCGGATCTACATGCTACTGAATCATTGGGGTGCACTTAGTTTTTCTAGTTTAGTTTCTATTAAAACTTTCTTTTTCATCTTGTTCACATTAGTTATAACTGGAAATATCTAATTAATATTTCAGTTAGTGGAGTTTTTGCCATTAGTGTCACTTGGTGAGTCCTAACAGATTTGGCACGCAGGTCATTCTAAATGGCTGATTAGCTCTGAAACTGTTTATAGCTATATTTCTGATTGGTTGACTGCTCTTGAGGCATTTTGGAAGCCAGGACCTGTCTCGTTCTCAGATAAATGGATGAAGGCTCCTGTCTGAAATGGATTTACACACATTTCAATCTGTCTAACCCAATTTAGTCATTTAGAAATGGGGTTTTTAAAGTAAAATCCCAAAGGCAGTAATAGAGGTTTAAGTGAGAGTTCTTTTCACCTTATCCAATTATTTCATCTGATCATTTGTTACAAAGTTGAATCAGCCATCCAGCTTCAGCTCTTTTAGCCAACTTATTTAGCGTTAACTTTTTGGCAGCAAGTAGCAGACAATAAAGGGCATTAGCAAAAACCCTGCATTAGATAGTCTAGCAGCCCTTTAATATGTTTATGTTCACGACAAATTAGGACAGATGAAAGTGACTTCTCGCGGACTATTGCAGTTAATGTAAGTTGGGTATGTCGGCACAACCGCTGACGACACCTAAAAAGTGAAGTTTCTCATTGAATATGTTTTGATAGACTTCCTGAAGATTATTTATAATTCAGTAATGGAGTGCTCATTGTAGGCACAGCTAATGTAAACTCTGACTCTAATAAGGATAAATTCATGTGGAATTGTGCTCTCTGCTACAGTACTGTAATATATTAAATCAACTGTGGATAACAGTCATTTATTCACTTAATTATGTCCATTGAGTTAGTTTGACTGCAGCTGTGCCTTTTGTATTACACTCATTTGCTTAACAAGATAATGTAAGTCATTCTAAAACTCAATGCAATGCTGATTTGGCCCTGATAATAAGTCAAAACGCTGTCAGAATTGTGCATTTCATTGAAATAATATTTCTTACTAGGCACAGCCAGACTAGCTCATATTATTAAGTGTAGCACAGTGCAGGGTGTCTCATAATTTAGAGTAACACATGCATTCCCACTGTGCAGCGTGAGCCGCTGCACAACTCTCCCATCAGCCATACATTCTGCTGAAAGTCTACATTAGCAGCTTCAGAAGGGTTGTAAATTAGAAATGAAGAGGCATCTAGTGGTTCAGACCCTGCGACCCGTGCCGGGGCTCTCTGAGGCAACACAAACCACAATTTCAATCCTCCAAATAAATCCATCTGTGGCCAGAGCGGGCGAGAAGTAGTATTTCACCGCTGCACACGGAAGAAAGAGAGACTCATATGATGGCTACATCTCCCCTTCTCCAGTGACACCAGAACACTCCTCTCTGTGGTCCTCGGCCCCTAAAGCCCCAAAGAGCATCGTAGCAGTCTTACAAAACAGAGCTGTCACAATCTGTCTGCATCAAGACAGAGGACAGACTCAAAGTTATGTCTCGCTTCCTGCCTGCCTTTTCTTCTTTTGTTTTCTATTCTTTCCGATATTTTTTAAGTTTTTTCTATTTTTCTGTCTTAAAGGATGGATGGATGGATGTTTAGATTGATAGATTTCTTCTTCCATTCTGCATATCACGATCTGGATACAGCTCTCTGCTCTGCACACATTCTGATCCATGTGGCTCCCGCCTCATGTGTTGCTTGTGTTTGGACAGCGCTGAGGCAGTCAGATCTGTGTTAAATGTGGCCTCACACTGGGCTCCACACTGATTGGTGTGTCAACACAGGCTGGACTTCAACTGCCTGCTCAAATGTGACTGTGTTTGTTGTGTCGCCCATTCAAATCCGACCGAGATCTGATGAATAGGTGAGAACAAGCTCATCAGATTTGAGCAGGCAGTGTAAACCTAGTCTGTGTTGACTGACGACTGACACACCAATCAGTGGAGAACAGAGCGAGAGTTTGTGTTTGCTTGGGGGGGGGGAAGTCACTTTGCCTTCAGACATGATTTATTTTGTTCCTTTTTTATGTTATTCTTTATTTGTCGCTGCACAGGAAGGACAATGTTTTCTTTTCTTTTAGTAATAAGGAACAGAAAGATCACATGTAGATGAAAGAAATGAAGGATTTGATCTGAGTTGTTAAAATGACGAGGCAGCCGGTTTAAGGAAGCTCTCTGGAGGATTTCATGTTGCTGGTTGGGTGGGTGAGGCGGCAGAGTGAGAAGGGTTTTCGGGGCGGGGGAGGAGAGGAGGAGAGTCACATCCAAATCACTGCAATTAGCAGAAGCACGGGAGACTAGTGCCCCCCAGTGTTTGCTTAATGTATAAATAATTTCTGTACATCAGGGGGAGACTATCTGGCTTAAAAAGAGAAAAAGAAAAAACTCGCATCGAATTCTGTGTATTTTGCTCTTGCTTTGTTTTTTATGTATACACAACTATAGTCACTCAGAGACACACCTTTAATTATACAGTTATGTTAGGTAATTGTGTTTAAAATCCAAATAAAGCTACAGGACTGCAAAATAGTTTTTGCTTTCTTTAAGATTTGAATTATGATCATCATGTATGTGATCGCTTTAAATATCACATCAATACAGTAATTTGCTGTAATCAAATCCAATCGAGGCTAAGTAGTGGAAATTATATTTTACTGTTTTGTTGTTGTTTTTTTCATACATACACATGCACATACATGTATATATAAAAATGGACTCATCCTGGATTGCTTTCTGATTAATAGATGGTGTTAAATGTAACTCTTTGAGAGCCAGTTCTTCATGGGAAAGCATAAAAATGGTATTGACCTACATTGCTTTCTGTATTTTCACACAGTATGCCTTTAGCTCTTCTTTCTCAGTGTGACTCAGTACCCATAATCCCTTTGTATAGGCTGGATTGATGTCCTACATCGTCCAGTCCTCTCTTTGTCACTGGATGGTTTGTGTGTGCAGGGTGCTATCAATGAGTAACCAAGGTAAACCAGAAAGACCATACGCCTCGCCGGATCTCACACTGTGTCATTGTCCTGCATTTGCCTTTTTTGTGTGATACAGGTTGAAATGTTACAGGCTTTTCATATGCAGCAGCTTATCATTCCAGGATACTGAAATATGAGGGAAAACCTTTATTAAACATGTGAAATCAAGCAGTATAAACTCATTCCAGTGTGGATCAGTGCAGGTGGAACACAGAAGGTAAAATCCCAATTTACTCTGTCAAAGTGCCAGCCTTATTGCTTTAATGTCACTTTCAGAACTTCATCTTAATATCCCATTAGGACTAATGAGGAATACATCCTTTCCCCCTGCAGCAAAAGTCCTGTTTCTGTGGGAACCAGCTGATAGCAAGTAGACTTTGCCCTGAAGGAAACTGAAGCTACAGGAAGAGCAGCCGAGCGTGGTCTCAGTCGTCACAGCAGAGGTAAGGCATATTTTAATAGCTTCGCTGGAGTTGTACGGATTGATTTCTGTGAACAGACCTGAGTCAAACAGCAGCTGGACACTTTTTTATAGACTTTAAAACTGTTGTCATCTTGTCAGAACTTGGATTTAATGTTCCAAACTTTCAGCCCGCGTAAGCCAACAAAAACAAAGTCCACTTCGTACCTTAGAAAACACAGTTTTAGGCTTTGTTTTGTTCCAGTTTGGAGAGATGAGCTGAAAAAGACGAAAAGTCAAAATGTGATTTTTATCTAGCAAATGATTTATTGCTGCCACGAGTGCAAAAGCCATTACTAATTACAGATATTACAGGAAGTGGAAATTGTTATTCATTAAACCATAATGAATAGACGGATGTGCACAGGGAGCGGCTGTTTCTGTCAAACTGCTATGTGTAGTCACTGCTTTACTGCAGTTGACAATCAGCATGATCTTGGCAGCTGGTTATGACTTCATTTCTTTCATGATTAATGCAGAACTAGGGAACTTTGGGGGGGGATTTATTATTCCCTTGTGTTCACTATACATATATACATTTTAAAAAATCCTTGCATTTATTGTCTGTCTGTGGATGACAACTAAATTTCCTCTGAGATCAATTAAATGCAATCTATTTGGCCATTAAATATACATACACTGAAAATAGATTAAGTTTTAGGGCCATTTTTATGGATGCCAGTCATGGAGGGCCTTGTATTTGTGTGATGCATGGTTTCATAATCACCCATTTGACATAGCCCCGTGTGCCAATTTAACATCACTGATGAAAGCACTGACACTGTCCAGAGGAATGTCTTTGTGACCTTAACTACCTTGTCTGTCTAATAATTCTCTTTACCTTGGCAGTTTTGTGTCTGATAAAATTTGCTGACTTTTGGGCAAATGGACCACACTTATGACAACAGAAACGGTGGATATCCTCAACCCCCTCCGTACAGCCCCGGGGACCATGGACAGAGTTCGTATACTGGGATGAGCTATGACGTTAGTAGCAATTCACAATCATTTTTGTTAGCCTCAAAGGGAAAAAAAATTAAATTAAGCAGTGAGAGAAACCATTTTGCACATTGATTTTAGGGTTTAATATGCCGCTATCGTAAAGAATGAGCCCAAATCCAACACACAACTAGCCTTTGATCATGCTATCGTTGGGATGTGTAATTAAATGTGTGCTTAACATTTAATTACACATGGATTATTGGTTTAATTCCATGAAGTTACTTCAAAATGAACACTAAAGCCTCTAATCACATCATTCTGCCTTTTTTATGATTTGCAAGAAAAAAGTTTTGAATCTAAACTTCGGGTGTTGTCTGAATGATCCAGGTGGAGAAGGGCAGCGTTGCAGTGGTCTCCCCTCCTGGAACCTATGATAACATGGTCCATCCTGTGGGCCCGGGAGCAGGTGGAGACAACCAGCAATGTGACCAATCTCCACCCGTCTACTCTCCCGGCTTAGAGGATAGCGCCTTCAGTGACGCTGCCATACGGAGAGGTGAGGGTCGAAGGAAGTAGATCAATAAAGAGAGGGAGAAACAGGAGGCGAGAGAAATGAGCGTTTCTGTTTGCGTGGTCAGAGCCGAACGAGGATCAGCAATATTTACTCCCCTCATTTGCTTTGCAGTGTTTTCTTGAAAATTGATTTGGAATTGAAAATTGTTCTGTGATCTCTGCTCGCAGCCTGTCGCAGCTCTTCACCTCCCACACAACACAAATCATTTTTAATGAGAGGCAGGAATGCAAGTTTGGTGAAAACAGTCATTTTTGGCAACAGCGTGCAGCCTTACCTGCCTCAATGCTTCACTCTGACAGATTGTTGTTGTCGCATGTCTTTCTCCTGTCTGTCTCACCTCTCTGTGTTTCTGCATCTGTTTTTCTTTTTTTCTGAACAGGTTTTATAAGGAAAGTCTACTTGACCTTGATGATTCAGCTGCTAGTGACTGTGGGGATCATCTGCGCTTTTCTTTACTGGTGAGACACAATCACACGAGGCCATTCTTGTTCCAAAGAGAAAAGAAGAAATGTCCTTTATTGTAATCTGCTGGCTTTTAATTGTGTCATCGCCCACCAACACGAGGCAGAACAAGTGCATAAAGTCGTCCCTGCACAAATTTAAACATGCACTGGGGCCCTTCTCAAATCACCATAGTGAGGTGAAACAAGGTGGTATATAGTCCGCCTAATGTTTGTGCTTGCAGTAGTTTGAAAGCTCCCTGTGTTTGGTATAATGGATGTGGTGGAAGACTGCAACAGTCATTTCTTTTCATAAATTGTATTCAGCTCCCATGTGCACAATGCACTGCTCTCTGTTAATATTTAATAAAATCATTCCACTGCTTCTATCAGATAAATGGCAGCTCTATTAAACACTTCTCTCTTTCTCCCTTCCCTTTTCTTATCACCCCCCCCCCCCCCAAAAAAAAAAAAAAACAAAACAAAAAAAAAACAGGGACACACTTAGGAAATGGGCATGGAACAACTACTGGTTCACCTACACCATGATGTAAGTTGTTCAAAAACGTTCTCTTAGATTTTCTGGATTTCGTGTTTGGAGAAAGGGCTTCATGTGAGTCCACGGAAGTAAATCACAAGCTCATCTTAATATAAATAATGCGCTCAGTGAATCCATAATGTTTCTCCTATTATATGCTAATGCCGGTAAACTCTGTGTCGTGTGTGAAACAGGGCGGTGGTACTCGTCCTCATTGTGGCCCTGTCATGCTGTGACAGTCTCCGGCGTCGAGTCCCCCTCAATTTTATTGCCCTGGGCCTGTTTGTGAGTAGAGGCAGTACCAGCCAGGCATCAAATTAAACCACCACCACACCTGCTCTATTTCACAGTTTTTTTTTTGTCATGTATTTACTTTCCATTTGTCTCCCCCTTTCCTTCCCCTCTCTCCCTCCCTCTCCCTGCCTGTGTGCCTTTCTCCCTGTCTTCCTCAGACTGTTGCAGAGGGCCTGATGCTTGCATCTGTGGCGGCGTGAGTGTTTGTTTACAAAGATGAGTCCCCACCTGATGCAGACTCATTTGCACAATAATAATCCTATTTGATCCATATCTGATAGCGTGTTCGATGCCAGCAATGAAGCCATCATGCCAGATAAGATGTTATCAGCGCTGGTTTACCAAATTAAAAGGCACATGGGATCACATTCTCTGATTTTTTTTCAGCTGAAGATAAATCTGAGCACATCACAAATAGTTCAAAACCAATTTCTCTGTATTTCTCGGTGCCTGTGTAAACACGAGTTACCCTTTTTTCCCCTCCATCTTTCTGACGGTTCTTTTTTAGCAGCACGTCACTCTGTCAGAAAAAGGCATCAGATGAGACCTGACTATCAATAATGCATTAAAATTACCATATTTATAGGATATTGCTATGACTGAAGCTATAGCTGATAGGAAATGCATGCAGGCAATGGATTATTCAATACTTGTCCAGTGGGGTGGGGTTGGGGGGGGTCCAGTGCTCAAAGTTAAATGCATATTTCGAGAAAAAAAAATTCTTATAAGAAAATAATACTTCCCTTTAGGATAGACCAAACCCCGCTGCTCATCCACCCCAAGATAGACATGATTCAGCTCTTACTGCACTGTTTGATATTTCTGTCTGCAGGTATTTTAATGCTGAAGCAGTCATGTGGGCTGTTGGGGCAACAGCATTTGTGTCCCTTTCCCTGAGCCTGTTCGCCATGCAGTCAAAGGTAAGATCTGTCACACACTCTGAGCTCAGTTTGCACTGCAGCCAAAAGTGAAACACGGCGCCTTAACTATACAGTCAATGGTAAATGTCCATACACTCAGCTGTGTTTCCTGTGCAGTCAGAGGGAACGTGTAAAGCTCAGCTGCTGGACAGGTTTTCACCTGCAGAGTTTTCAAAGTCAGATGAGTTTGCTGTCCTGGCAAAACTAAGATTCCTGCTGAGATCAGTGTATTTGAAAGTTGGGTTAATTCCCTGCATCCAGAGGGTTAAGCCCCCGTGAGGCTGAGATAACTCTCGCCATATAGAATTCTTTATATAAGTCAGCCCTCGTCCTTTTCAGTCTGCCTCCTTTCATGAATTGTGAAAAAAAAAGCTTTTTATCAAGCAAAACTTCTCAACTTTGTGATTGAAACCCTAAAAAAATGACCAAAAACTTCACCTAAAATTCTATAATAAGCATCCCAACGAATCCCAAATAAGTCTCGCTCGCTGAGGATTTTTTATTCTTTATTTGATCATGCTCATCTTCTTCTGAGATGCCGCTCTCAAAATATATATAATAGCTTATGCTTGTGCACATGGCATTTTAAAGTTTCATTACAACTTGCAGCGTTTTATTAGCTGGAGCAAGTTAGGAGACCTTTTGAGAATCACTTCATTGATAGCTCGGCATGCTTCTTCAATAAACGCCTCATGTTCTGAACAAAAGCAATCACACAGCCAGTGGGGAAGATGTCAGCCACATTCAGATTGCATTTAGAGCCTCTTTTAATTGCTGCTAAATGGTGGTTGGCATTTCACACACTTTGCCACTTATTGTATCTGAAGGAGCTGGAGACATTTATATTTTCGCTCACAGTGGATGGAACAAGCAAGCAGCTGTCTGATAATCATACTAAGAATATATCTGGTGCTTAATTCTCTCTGCTCGTTATTAATCAGCGGGAGGAAGGTACGCAGGTCAGGTTTAAATAGCTGACATATAGAGGGAAGCGTACCCCTAAGCCCGTAATATAGTTTTATGGGCTGAGTGAGCGTCCGCAAACACTTGTAGTTTATTTTTTATGACTTCGCTTTCATCTTGCCATTTCCAGCACCTCTTGCTCTGCAGTTCACAATGTTCACAGAGCTTTTTAATCTCTGTCACTGTGATGCATTGACACTGCGTCTGCAGCCCATAGCTCCTCAGGTGATCAGTGCTAGTGATTCTCCTGTAGCAACTGCCATCTTTTTTTTTTATGCCAGTGTGGAAAAAATAAATAAAGGGCATGCAGGCGAAAAGGCCACCTTCAATCCCCCTGCTCAGTGCCTGTTGATTATTTATCCTCACTTGTTATAACCAGAACTGTCTTGATTTTCTTGAGTCTCGACTGCAATCTGTAGCTATCACAGAGCACAGCTGCAATGAGAACAGCCTTCAGTGTCCTGGATTTTACGAGAATGATGAGTACAAATGAGAGATGTTGGGGCTTGTCACATTAACTGTCTTTCTCATTTCCTATCCCTCCTTTGCGGCATCAGTGGGACTTCACCACAGCAAGTGGGTGCCTGTGGGTGCTTATCTGGACCCTCTTTTCATTCGCCCTCCTCTGTGCAATCCTCCGATCACAGGTAAATTAAAGAGCTTCTTTGTTAACCAGTGTGTTTGCAGTGGGAACAGGTTTTAAATGAATTGCTGACAGACCGGATGTACAGCCTCAGAGTCTTTGGCCCTAGAAAGCACAGGCCCGTGTGCTGAGCAGACTATACAGCAGAGAGCGTAAACTCAAACCTCTTAGGATTTAAATGTACACTGGCGTTCACTGTGTTGGCTGTTAGTGTTGCCAGCGGGTATAAATAAGCATTCTGCAGATTTTAGGTTGTAGTTGGACTCTGACTGCCTGTAAACCAAACAAAACAGCCAGAATGACCAAAAAAAAAAAGTTTCTGGCTTAATTACTACCTACAGCAAACAAGCAGCACAGCACACTAGAATAAAAATGTTTTGTTTTAAATTTGTGTTACTGAATGCCTCTCCTGAGTGTGTGTGATTCTTTTGCAGTATGTTTACATCGTATATGCCTGCCTGGGAACACTGCTGTTTTCTTTAGTAAGTACACTTTGGTAACAGAAAGTTCTTTTCCGCAGCACTTTTTTTCTTTTTGCTATGAAAAACAGAATTAAAATCCCCAATGGAAATAAAACGAAACCACCATCAAAGAGGGCTTATTGTCAAGTGAGTGTATATGATGCAACACGCGATCCCAGGGCGAAGCAGCCTGATACCAGTTGTTAGTGAAAAGAGAGCGACTTTGATGCCCCTGTGCCCTTTAATTTCAATTATGCACCACTTAACAGTAGTGGGCTTCCTTTTCACAGCCACCTCTCTGTGTGCCTTTGGCATTCGCAGCAAATGTTGTGACCCATCTCGTCAGCCGGTGGAACAAACTGCAGCTGCACACAGAGCTGAACAGGCTGTCAGCAGCAAGTCACAACTTATTTTCAGCTGCACAAGTCTGACTCCCGGATTATTTGTGTGGCCTGTTTATCTGCACCGTCCCATCTCTCAGAAATAGTTAATAGTGCCTGCGCTTGCTCGCAGACCAGTTCGCGTTCTCGATTCACAGATCAGTGCTGAAGCATCTCATTTTCTGTCCATCTCTCCGCAGTACTTGGTGTTTGACACTCAGATGATCCTGGGTGGAAAACACAGGAAGTATCAAGTCTCTCCCGAGGAGTACATCTTTGCTGCGCTCAACCTCTATTTGGACGTCGTCACCCTGTTCCTCTTCTTGCTGCAGCTCATCGGCCTCTGCCGCTGACACTTAAACTCCATGGCAGGATTTCCCCTTAAGATACTCTTCTTGCACACATGCAATCAATTCGTTGAGTTTGGTAAACACAGACAGCCAGTCTCCCAGACATGGCTTAAGCCCCCCAAAGCAAAAACACTGAAGATCTCCACAGAAAAACTTTTTTTGGTCCAAGTCTAGGCTTAAGCCATGTCTGGGAAACTGAGCCCATGATTCATATTGAATACGTCTCCAGACATCTGTCAGTATATTCAAGTTTGCCTATGATTGTCATGTGTTACGCACTGCAGTCTGCTTTATGGATGTTTACTTGTTTATTTTTTTTTCCTTTAGGAGTTCAGATTTACATACTGCCCTGTTGCAATTCTTACATAGAACTACATATACTGAATATTTGTTTCTAAAAATTACTCTTTAACTCACAAACTAGTCACTTAGGTACTTGTTAAATCAAAGATTATATAAAAGTGTTTAATTTTGAATGAAAACCCAATAAAAGAATTGGTCAGTGTTATGAAAATAAAACCATCTGCAATATTTCTGTGTCATAAATGACTATTACAAATGAGACAACCGCAAAGTAAAACTCAACACATAGTTTATTGGCATCACACATCAAACACTTTTCATATAAAGAGGGAATGTATCAAGTATAAACTATGAAAGTGCAAATAGCATTTCAAGGATTAGTTGCTTTACAATAGAAAATCTCAATGAGTTACAAAATGTTATATACCTTTTTTAATTTTTTTTAATAAATCACCTGAACATATGAGGTGACAGTATAAAGTGTGCCCGTTACATGCACAGCATACTACTAAAGAAAAAGGGCAACGCATGTTATCTCCTCTGATAAAAGCACTTCCATTAACCAAGTCCGACAAAGTTAGTTCCATTAACCATATGGCACCCAGACACTTATCAAAGCAATCACTATCTTTAGACTTAATGTTGCTCTATACATCTGCAAGGGGACAGAGAGAGAGAGAAAAAGGTCATTTACTTCAGCCAGACATCAGTCTGTACAAGAACATAATCACGTCTTAAAGGTAAGACACTGACTAGTGTGTTTTAGTTCACATGGGTTACTCACAATCCATTATTTAAATGAATTATCTTTATTCCAAATAAATACCTACTTTATAACTTTCCTCACACACAAGCGATACAGAACAGTAGGTTAACCTATTCTGAAATCAGCGCAGTGATTTTTAGATGCTAAACCCCGGGAACCACTTCAGTGTAGGGCAAGAAGCCTTACTGCACAAACCCAGAGAAATAAAACCTTTCTTCAAAATATCTGGGAATAAGATTTTTTCTTTAAAGTGTGACTTCGTCGTTACAACGTATTTCACCAAATCGCTAAAAAAAGAAAAGAAAAAAGAGTCAGTGTCATCTATTAACATATCACCACAAGAGCCAACAAAAAAGCCTCTTGCTACAAACATTTCTGATGAGCACGTCTGAACACTATCAACGGCAATGTGAGAGAAACGACTTTAAGGTAACAGGTGTTTCTGTTTTTGTTTACACTGTCATTTTTTTTAAAATTAGCACTCAGAAAAAAAAAGTGTGAAAAAAGGAAAAAGTGAATCATGGTGATTTACACAAAGGCACTGTGTGTCTCAACTCCAGAGAGAGAACCGTTTCAAAGACATGGACTTCCCATGAGGATGAGATGCTGTACACATTCATGATTTTTAATTTTTTTTTCCCCCCCATGCATTACCCTGCAGTCCGGAAAATCTGCAAAGATCTGAAAGGCTTTGCTTATTACTTTTAAAACAGGACCCAGAGATAAATTACAGTGACTTGGGCGTGAGTAATTAATTTACCAGAGTCTGAATACGACTGCCTGATTTCAATGGCCTTCCCTGCGGCGTATGAAGCAGGCTTCTCACTGTCTACTTAGTCTGTCGCGCTCCACGTTCGGCTGCAATACTCAAAACATTAATTTAAGACAAGCTACAATGGAATTCAGAACATGCTGTGACAAAGGTGCAAACTGAATCACGAGCACTCCCTCTGGGCCCGTCAGCATTCGTTGTTTTTTGATTCAGCCTGTGTTGGGGAGTAATAACCACTGTCAAGTCCATTTTGAAATGTTTTTGAGGAGGCCAACTACTTTTCAGTTGAATAATTAATCAAAATTTTGCCAATGTGAATATTTTACATAAAGTACAAATCCATTAGGGCCTGAAGCCTCAGTTCTACACGGCTCACGGCAGCTTTTAGCCAGTGACATTTTCAGAGTATCAATCAGCTGCAATCTCAAAGAAAATTATGGCTCAACACTTTCACATTAAAGTTTAGCTGAGTGGTTGAGATTGTAAAAAGCAGGCACAATTTGCTTTAGAGAATCCACTTGGTGACTGCAAACTGTGCTTTTGCTAGCCAGTGTTTGGCACCCATGAAGTAGGCAGAATTGGACAGGAGTGAGAACCATCTCAGCCGGCTTTGTTTCGATTGAATATTGGAGCAAACTGTTAATCTGCTCACTAAGTACAGCTGAATACATCAGACCTGATCCAGACTGATACAGTAGGCTTTTAGTCCAGTGGAAAATAACTATGTAGGTTAAAGTTTCTAAAGCTCCTAAGTCTCTAAATCTGATATTTAAAAAACAAAAACAAAAAACGCTACTTATTTGTATTTTTACTAGTACAAGACTTGTTTTATAAGTCACCCTTGAAACTGGTAACTAACTGTGATCTCTTCTATTTAGTACTTTCTTTGCAGAAGGCTGACAATACAGTAAACACATCTTGTTGCACTTAAATCTGAATCTGTGTCTTCCCCACTTTCTGGTCAAGTATGACACATTCCCCACTCTGTTTACATTCCACCTGAATAGCTAGCACAGACGTTCCTCCTCTTTATTCATTTTGCAATCTGTAGTGGTTTTTGGCCTTCCTTAAAAGCTCTTTGCCATCTCAGTTAGAGAGATCATACCAAGTGCACTTGATCTTCCCACTCAGATGAGCTGGTGCTTGGCAGCTGATCAGACACAGAGTCACATCGCGGAGTGTCGACGTGGCACACCTTTGAGCCTCTGCGCTCGGCATGGCCTCCGCTTGCGTCATGGGCTCCCATGTAAGGTAGCGGCATGGTGTCCAGCCCCACTAGATCTAACTGGGTCGGTCTCTCAGCGACAGTGCACTCCTTCTCCTCCATCTCACTCAGCCTCTGAGAGCAGAACCCCACATCTGCCATCACCTCCTGAGGCTTCCTGTTTTCAGGGAAGACGACCACCCCGACATTGTCATCGTCTTCTCCTTCGCCCCTATGGAGTGAACCCGGGACTGAGTCGCTGTCACAGGAGGTTGGGGGTACCAGAGTGATACCTTGAGGATTCATGTCATGAAACCAAGCCATGATATTGCCCAGCAGGTTAGCGTTTGCTGCTAATGCAGAGGATGAGGATGGGTCGTGGCTGCCACATGTGGTTGAGTCTGTTGTGTCGGTGGAAGAGAAGAGGCCTGTTGAAGAGCTGCTGCAACCAGGAGCCACTGGTATGGGCACAGAAGCACCGTATGCCCGATGATGACTGTCACCGTGCTGTACAGGGATAGCAACACCGGTGGCAGCAGAGTACTGGCTGCTGATGTTGCCAAGTTTCACCAAGTTATCTCCCAACTCCAGCAGTTCTGAGCTGCTTAGAGAAGCTCTGGGGGGGACCTCGATGCCTGGAGCACTTTGCTCAAGCCTCGAAGGCAGGGAGGTGCCAATAGCGCCGAGTGAGGCTTCGTTGGCAAGTACTTCATGACTGGACACACTCCCGACCATCCCTGAGTCCTGGAGTGACAGCTGAATAGCCAGAAGAATGTTGGGGTCATCGTCATCCAGCGAACCCAGACCCTGCAAGAATAAAAGGATCCAGTGTCGTAGAGCATCAGCAGTTTTCAAACTTAACTTTAAGTATAACCTGCAGCACCTATTGTTAAAAAAGTTAACAGTAGCAGCAGATGGAGATAGTGACAAGGTAAGGAAAATAGCAGCTGCTGCAGTTTTGACACTTTGACACACAAACCTGAAAGCAAAGACAGTTTTTCTTTATAGCTGCTTTGTTGCAGTCAGCTCACAGTGGGTTTTAAGGTTTTACATTTTCAAAACTATCATTACCACTCACTCTGTGTTTATATATAAAGTCCCAGCACACAACATCGCTGCATCACTCAGTATGTTTCAAGTCATTCATGCCCCAACCCCAGTCCAAAAAAAAAAGAAAAAGAAAACCCCGTAGGTTTCAGTTTCAAATATTACTCTTTTATTAACTGAACATTTGGTGAACTAGTGAATATGAAACCGCTAAGAATCAAGACGACATTAATAATTCACAGTACTAAGACAAAAATGCCTTCAGGAATAATTTCAACTACATTACCGTTTGAGCTCGAGATAAATGTTTACTCACCATCATAGGACCTTGTCTGCGTCCACTTCCAGCATCCTGTGTGTCTTTATAGGAAAAAAAGGAACAAAGAAAAAGTCAAACCTGGTTATTGAACTAAATCAATGCAGGATAAATCAATTTACTCAGTTTAATCTACTGCTAAGTATTCAATTTAGTAACATCATCTTGAGTTTAGTCAACACACTGATGAAGGACCAGCAACCCGTCACAACCCCAGGAACTGCACTAACTGTATCTGTATCTGTGAGCAATTCCTCTTTGCTCACAAAACAAAACCTATTAGCTACCCTCCAGTTTTATCTATTGTTTTCAGTCCATACAGCCTAGATAAAAGTACCACGATGATGGAGAAACACAAAAGATTAGAAATGCTTACTGAATTCAAGCAAGTGTCATTTTTCCAGAAGCTCTATTTTGGAAAAACTAATTAGTAAAAATCAATATTTCTAAACAAATAATGTAACTGAATCATTGCAGTGCACCTGTGCTTGTTTAGGTACCGGTGGATACTAAGACTCTTCTCCACTTGACACAATACTGCCAGGGAAGCATCTGACTGGATCTTAATATTTTTGGCGCATTAACCATGACTCCAACAACATGAAAAAATAAACTGATGTGGAACAGATTGTAAGGCCTGAATTCACCGAAGAGCTTTGAAACGTTACCATTTAATTGTCTGTTTAAACAGACAGTTCTTTAAAGTTAGACATTCTTAATCCACACAGAGCTAGAGCCTTAACTTGAGTGCAAGAAAATGAGGCTTGAGGTAAGGAGGATGATGATAAGGTGCAAATGACAGGGGAGAGAAAGCAGTAGTGAAGGACGAGAAAGAGATAACGAAAACATCAGCCACTGTATTCAAGATGGTGGGGCTTCGCAAACCTGCACCTGCACTTATGCAATTCTGATGGATTCATTCAAAGTTAATAAGACTGTGCCTTTAAAACAAATTATAAAGCAACAGAAATGTGTGTTTAATAGTAACAGAGACTTTAATACTTTCTTTGGCATTTCTTCTACACCCAAGTAATTTAACTGTAACTTGTCTACAGCGTTTTTCACTTCTTTGTAACATCACAATTCAAACATGGAAACAAACATCA